AAAAAAAACACCAACGAATCAATTTCAGAAGATAATATAAAGGGGAATTTACAGATAAGGGTCCAAAAATGAAAATAATTACAAATAAGGGACCAAAATGAAAATAATTACAGATAGAGACCCGATATTCCCAAAATAATGATTTAAGCCCCGTTTCGATGATGTAACAGTCATTAATTGTTAACGCATAAGAAATATAATAATAATCCTTATAACAAAAATCATGTCATATAAAATTACAGATCGGTATGACTTTTACTAACATGTCGGCTTTGGACAGTTATTTTGTCGAATTTTCTTAAGTTCAGAACGAACAAACCAAATAAGCTGTTGGCTATTTGTTTTCCAAATGAAACCAGTTCATGCCATTTTAATATTTCAGTTAACAAGCGCAAAGATGGCTACATTCATCTAGTAAGGCTGATTCCTCATGATCCAACTTGTTTAACTTCTATGGATGCATTCAAAGCGCGTGGATCGTACCGTGTAAAGTTTACTGCGCCATTGGTTAAAAGATATAGCAGTATTTCGACCTCGTGTTTGTTTTGAAGTGGGGCCAAGATTTCATATATAGTAACTTGGGATTTCATATATAGTAGCTTGGAGAAGTAAAGCTATTAGGCCACGCAATGTTAATTTTTCGTTTTGCATTGCAGGCTTTCAAAAATCTTATCAGTTGGTTGGAATTTTTTTTTAATTTTGAATAATGAGCTATAATTTAATCACAAGATGAGGCAATTAATAATGATACCGATACCATTATGTTTAAATCAGCTAGCAATTTTGACGTTATATTTGGGCCCTTATTTGTAATAACTTTTAAATATTGGGCCTTTATCTGTAATTATTTTCATTTTGGGCCATTATTTTCGTTTTTGAGCCCTTATCTGTAAATTCCCCTAATAATAAATTACTATAAGAGTAGCAGGAAAAGCTGGAGGAAACGCAAGAAATCTACGGAGACAAATACCAGCAAATTCCAGAAGAAAACAGACTCTCAGCAAGAATTGATAAATACTAAGTAATCCTGTAGAAATTTTACAACTCAAAAATTTAAGCAAGAAGTAGGTAAAACCTGCCTAGTGCTCCTGTATATTGAACTACAGAAACTAGGCTCGGGGATAAACCTTTTCTGCAGGACCAGGTTAAAGAAAAAAATAACTCAAGAAATATGATCCCCGAGGCAAATTGACATTCGAAGCACAACAATTTTGGTGGAGTAAAAACCTCAACATCGGGCTGCAACAATAATTTTTAAAATGTATAAGAGTGCAAACCCCTTGCAGCATAACATCCTTGGATCGTTATTTTTTTTTATTTTAACAATTTTCGTAACTAACCTACATAAGTTCCGATTATAAATCTGCGCATATGCACGTACGTACGTATGTATCCGATAGGTCACAATAATTTATGGGGTGCTTCAAAATATTGACCGTTAAATAGTGCCCGTGCTGTACTATGGGGTACTTAACCAAAGATATTATAGGCGGTAGTTGAACTGATAGACTTACAGGATGGCTTAATATAGGGTGATTTTTAAAATTTTAATAAGCCAAAAGGATGTACGTACGTACGTGGTTAATGTTTGATTTGTTGATATGGTGAAAAGCAATTAATGGCTTAGGATTTAATATATCGATATAATAAAAAAATTTTTATAAATATATTATATATATTCAAATGTAATTCACTGTACTGTTAAGTTACAAATAATAGTAATTTAATAGTTACCGTGTATAACGTGTAAATGTCCGTGATATGACACGAAGGAGTCAAGTCAAATAATACATTGTCAAGCTTGATCCGGATATTAAAATCTAAGGGACATATGTATGAAATACCCGAGGACATTATCGCGGCTATACCTAATCAAATCGAATTTCTAATAACTCAGCTAAGCAAAATGTGTAAAGTTTCTGAGGCTTAGAAACGGTTGCTTGCTTCGAAAGAAACTAAGTATCACTAGAATCTGGTTAGGGTGCTGATTGTCACTCTTTATAAGGTATTACGGATGATCTTGTCACATGGCTTTGCATGCGGCGCAATATAAATATTATTTGAGAATGAAAAATTTAACGTTAATCATTCCTTCCTCCCGGACTACTTTCGGCGTCTAGGTACTACAAATTTGTATCTTTAAACAGGTCATGACTACTTTTTGTAAAAATGGTGAGGGAGCCTTCAATCGCTTTGAAAACAATTATCCCCTTTTCGGACAACCGACAAAAAAAAAGGAGTTCTGATTGTGACGATGACGAAATACCATTAATTATTCAAGAGGATTGGACAGAGGTTTGTTTAACAAAAATTAATAACTTTTTTTTTTTTTATTATTAGAACAAAAACTTTTATAGGATAATATTCTCGATTACCAGTTTTTGATTACTCTTAATATCCCCTTTACGTAGATTGCCCTTAAAAATACCCGGATTTGATAAAGAGTAGAAGACTTTCTAATCCTTTGCCAACTTTTTTATATCTAAAAACAATTGTAAACTTGTTGATTTTTCTAATTAAAATATTTTGTTTATAATAATTTCCTCAGGAAAGCTCCTCATCATCAAGATATCGACGTCGTAACCTACCATCATCTTCATCTGATGTTCCGCTCTCAAATATGAGAGCTCCAAATGCAAAATCAAGGACAATTTCATTTCATGTCTCAAGTAATTTAATTTAAATATATATTTTTTTTTGCATATGTAATTTTCGTAAAATAACTTTATTTAATATCGTAGATAAAATAAAGAAAAAATATCCTCCCAATGTTATCCGTAACCAAAAATACAATTTAATAACCTTTTTCCCGTTGGTATTTTATGAACAAGTAAGCAATACCTTTGAAATTTAATTATTCAGATATCGAATTATGATTTTATACTTATGTCATCTTTATTATCTTAAAGTTTCATATATTTATCAATTTATACTTTCTCTTGGTGGCACTATCTCAATTTATTCCTCCTTTGAAAATTGGCAAGTGAATTTAGATAATTTTCTTAGCAATAGCCTGATGTTTCAATAAATCTTAGATTTATCATTTATTTAGGTTACATCATTACGTATTTTGGACCACTATGTTTTGTTATTCTTGTTACAATGGGAAAGGAGGCATACGATGATTGGAAACGGTATAAAAGAGACCAGGAAAATAATTCACAAAAATATCAGATATTGACAAGGGATGGCTTAAAAAATGTTCCAAGCTCGAAGATTCGAGTCGGCGACTTGGTTATAATTCACAAAGATCAAAGAGTGTGTACTATAATAACATTTTAATTGTTATTATTGTTCGTATGTTTAACTTGGATCAATTATGTTTTAGGTTCCTGCTGATTTAATATTACTTCGTACAACTGAAACGAGCGGTGCTTGTTTCATTAGGACAGACCAATTAGATGGTGAAACTGACTGGAAACTGAGGTATGTTATTACAAAAATTCACTTATAATTTGGTATCATTGAGTAATGATGTTTATATAATTTATTCTTTATATTTCATCAGACTTGCTGTTCCATATTGCCAAAAGTTGCATACTGATTCAAACTTATTATCAATCGACGCTGAAATATATGGTATGTGTTTTAATGAGTGTATAGTTATTATTAATACATTATTGACAATTTTTTGTGTTAGCTGATGCTCCATCAAAAGATATTCACAATTTTATCGGTAATTTTTTGAGACAAATACCTAACAGTGTAGTAAGTTTAAAAATAATAAATTATCTCTTAGGCCATACAGAATTAAATTTCTTGGTTCATAAAATTTAAAGTGACATGGAAACTTCATTGATTATATAAAAATTTTCTGATTTGTCTTATATATATATATTTTGTATCTGCAAGTAGTTACTTATCTAGAGTTACTATTTTTGATATCTAAATATCACTTGGCTAAAATTACTATTAAGTGCATGCATGAAGAGGTTAATTTTAGTTAGATGCAACTTCATATATCTAAAGTAGTAACTTAAGGTAGGTGAATACTTTAGATATGTATATTTATAGAAATCTTCACCTGAAATTACATAGCATAAAATTGGTTTTCGATAGTTTACGAAACTGACTTGGCAAGATTATAAGAACCAATGAATTCACTTTGTATGGCCTTAAACTTAGATTATTCCGAAATTTATTGGCAAATTTTCATTACTAGACACCTCAAACTGAACCGCTTAATGTGGAAAACACTTTATGGATGAATACAGTACTTGCATCAGGTACTGCTATCGGATTTGTGATATATACTGGCAGAGATACGCGAGCAGTAATGAATACCAGTCATCCAGAAACAAAGACTGGATTATTGGATCACGAAATTAATAATCTTTCTAAGGTCATTAAAGTTTGAATAATTTCAAACATGATATTTATAAATTCAATATGTTGCATTATTGTTAACAAAAAAATATACTTCATATGTTGTGGGTGGTAGATTCTTTTTATCGTGACTTTGGTGTTGTCTATAATGTTGATCGCGTTAAATGGTTTTCGTGGTCTCTGGTATATTTATTTATTCCGGTTTTTGATTATATTTTCATCTATTATTCCAATTGGGTAAGTTTTCTAATTTCTTTTCATTATCCTACCGCGTATAAGCACCCCTCGTGAATAAGCACTACCCTCAGTTTAGCAAAATCTAGTGAAGCAGTTTTATTAAACATATAAAATTTAACATAGCGAAAAAATGGTGCTTATTTGTGATAGGATATGGTATTTAATTATTTCATGTGAATTAATATCGCTATTCTCTTTCAGTTTGCGTGTTAATTTAGATATGGGTAAATCTGTTTATGCATATCAAATGATGAACGATAAAGAAATACCAAACACAATCGTTCGTACTAGTACGATACCTGAAGAATTGGGTCGAATCGAATATCTATTATCTGATAAAACCGGCACTCTAACAAAAAATGGTAATCACAAATCATTTAAATTAACAATTTTCATAATTTTGTATTCAAAAATTAATTTTTATTTCGATCATAGATATGGAACTTAAGAAACTTCACATGGGAACAATGGCATACAATATTGAATCAATGGATGAAGTTGCGACTCAACTCGCAGCTGCGTTCGGAAAGGCAAAAGGTAATGTTAGTTTCTTTAATTGATTATATTTACATTTGTTTAATCCTATTTTAATCTTATAACCTGTAGCATCTGGTCCTTCTGCAACTATGACTGGAAAGGGCCGCAGAGACATGTCCTCTAGAGTTAGGGATATTGTATTAGCTCTCGCGTTATGTCATAATGTAAGGCTTTGTAATGCGTAGCGTGCAGATTGGATTATGCAAATAGATAGTATTACTTATTTCATTTATAAATTCAATGTTTTTTATATTTTAGGTTACACCTGTTATTGATCCAGATAGTGATGCAATTGCATACCAAGCGTCTTCTCCAGATGAAATTGCTATTGTTAGTTGGACTGAACAAGTTGGGCTTACACTGGTTTTTCGAGATATGAATGAAATACACCTTCGTACAGCGGATGGTGAAATTCTAGAATATTCAATCCTTCAGACATTCCCATTTACAAGTGAGTCTAAAAGAATGGGTATTATAGTGAAAGATAAAGTTACTGGGGAAATAATGTTTTATCAAAAGGGTGCAGATGTTGTGATGAGTAAAATTGTACAATATAATGATTGGTTGGATGAAGAATGTGACAATATGGCTAGAGAAGGGTTGAGAACATTGGTAATTGCACGTAGGAGGTTATCTGAAGATACATATACTGAGTTTCAAGACAGGTATGTAATGTCATTCAAATAAGATTTATATAAAATTTTCTATTGTATTAAATAATTTCATGTTATAGGTTTAATGAAGCAAAAGTGAGCATAACTGATCGTAAAGCTCAAGAACAATCAGTAGTTATTTCACTTTTAGAACAAGATTTAGAACTTTTGGGTGTAACCGGTGTAGAAGATAAACTTCAAGATGACGTAAAAAATACGTTAGAACTTTTGAGAAATGCAGGGTTAAAAATTTGGATGTTAACGGGTCAGTGAATATTCTATAAAAATTCAACAATACATTCATTTTTGGTATTTAATAATTATTATTAACTTTAGGAGATAAAATTGAGACAGCTACATGCATTGCCGTTTCATCAAAGCTGGTATCGCGAAACCAAAATATACATCAAGTATCACGAGGTAGGTTAAATTAAATCTGTTAGATTAATATTTGTGTTGTTAGTTTTGAGACTTCATAATTTTTCATTTATTATTATTGTTTTAAATCAAAGTGACCTCTCCACATGAAGCTTTGGAGCAATTAGATATCATGCAAAGCAAAAAAGATGCTTGTCTAGTGATTGATGGGGTTTCAATTCAGGTATAAACTATATATAGTGCATACTGCGCATAATAATATTTATTAATTATAAGATATTATAGTTTTATATGGAACATTATAAAAATGAATTCATCGAAATAGCTGTACGCTTACCAGTTGTTGTAGCTTGTCGATGTTCACCTACTCAAAAGGTAACAAAAAGCTCATAAAAAAGTTTATTTCTATTTTAAGAATATTTATTTATATGGTCTTTTGTATAGGCTGATATTACGAAACTCATTATTGATTTCACGGGGAAGAGAGTATGCTGCATAGGAGATGGTGGTAATGACGTTAGTATGATTCAAGCAGCTCATGTTGGTAAGTTTTATAAAGCCATTATTTTTATTACATCTATATATTTACGCTTATTGAATTGCACATAAAAATTATAGGAGTTGGAATAGTTGGAAAAGAAGGAAGGCAAGCTTCATTGGCGGCAGATTTTTCCATAACACAATTTAGTTACTTAACTAAATTGCTATGTATGTATAGGTTTACTTTTCTTAAATTACGTATATATATCTTTTACCTCCATGAATCTTTAACACAATCTTTTTAATATAGTATGGCATGGTAGAAACAGCTATAAACGATCTGCCAAACTATCTCAGTTTGTTATTCATCGTGGGTTAATAATATCAGTTATACAAGCAGTATTTTCTGCATTGTTCTTTTTTGCACCAATTGCACTTTATCAAGTAAAAATCATGATTTGCAATAAATTTTCATAGCTTATATAATGTAATCTATAATTAATTTATATATATTTTAAAATAGGGATGGTTAATTGTGGGATATTCTACTGCTTACACAATGGCACCTGTATTCTCTCTGGTACTAGATAGGGATGTGAAAGAAGAGACAGCATTTAAATTTCCTGAATTATATAAAGAACTAACCAAGGTATATATTAACTTATCTATTAATTTAACATTAATTTAATCGGTTAATATGGAAACATTAAATATTATAATATTTTAGGGACGTTCCTTATCTCTGAAGACCTTCTTTCAATGGTTAATGATTAGTGTTTACCAAGGTATAACAAGTGATAACTTATCTGTTATTCTATTTTCATATATATTCAACTAAAATTATAAATATGTATAGGTGGTGCCATAATGATCATGTCAATTCTATTATTTGAGGATGAGTTTGTGAATATTGTCGCCATTTCATTTACTGCTTTGATTTTCAATGAGTTGTTGATGGTTGCACTGGAAATCAATACATGGTATAAATCAAGCATTTTGTTTTGAAAACTATATTTATTATTTTATGTATACTTAACAAAAAAAATTATTATTTGCATGTAAAGGCATTATCTCATGATTGTATCAGAAATTGTAACATTTGCCATATATATTGTTTCTATGGCATTCTTACCGACTTATTTTGGTAAGAGTTTACTTATTAAATATAATTTCGTTATTGCACAATCTAACGTAGTTTTATTTTCTTAAAAATAGATTTATCGTTTATTTTAACATGGGTTTTTGTTTGGAAAGTAGCGGTCATAACAGCAGTTAGTAGTATTCCATTGTATATTGTTAAAATCCTAAGAAGGAGATGCGCTCCACCAAGTCATTATAAAGTAGTGGGCTAAATGAATTTAAGAGAGTAAAGGGTTACCTAATTTTGAATAGGCACTTTTAATAATTTATTTTTCATTGGAGAATTATGAAAAAACCATTGGGTTTATATGTATTATAAGCTTGTTCTTTATATCATATTTAGCATATATACAATTAAAGTCCTTGACCCAAACTTTCCAAAAACTAATTGTAAACCAATTGCTGAGATGTATTTTATCAATTTAGAATTTATATGATGAATATTTAAAGTTAGGGTTTTGGATAGTAATTCTAATATTGCAATTTATTAGCTGATGTACATCAATATCAATAAAATTAAAATTAAAAAAATCTTGATGCAATGGTATATAATGTCCGGTGAGGAGCGAGGAACATCTTATGTTTAGTCAAAGTTAATTTCGTTTTTGACTAGTATTTAGTATTAAGTCACGCCAGTAGTGTTAATTCTACATTTGTATTAAAATTTGGATTAAAGTTACAAAAATTTTAAAGATTGGAAGTTTTAGAGCAATCGACCACTAATTACATGGCTAGCTGTTAAGATATAGCGTTTTTTGATGTTAATATCGTGACCGGAGTTACCTTCTGTAGTTGCTACTTCAGTTGAATGATTGAAATTACTTGCTATTTAATGCGTATTAGAATACAGGGGTTGGGTCAGAATCACGACAGGTCATAATCCCGATAAAAAGATCCTGACAATCAAAAATCTCGAACAGTCAAAAATCCAGATAGTCAGAATTTTAGCATCCCAAATAGTGGGATCGTGTCCAATCACGTAATATAAAGTCAATAAGTTGTATATTTTGATCGACATTGAAGAGAAAAAAATATAAGTAACGATTGTTTAAACCTATCTTTGGGCATTAATAAAAAATGTTAGAGGGTAATTTTACTATAAAATACATCATAATCCCAACCCGAAGCTTTAATCAAATAGTCATGTCTATCACAAATTTTGGTGTGGCAGCATGACGTAAAATAGTACGGATTAGAATTTTCAATTGTTTGGATTTTAACTGTCAGATTATCATTATGACCTGTCGGGATTTGGCCCGTACCCAATACAAGACAGTCTAATTCCAAGGCTTACTGTAAATTCAGTCAGGTATTACTTCTATTACTTCCGTCGACTAAAATAATAACATCTGACAGACCGCCATTACAGTCGCGACATTAAAAACATTTGTTTTACTCTCATTTTGCATATCTTGCTATCGAGTAATCTACGCTGCCCTTTTCAAGCCAAATGTGCTATGTAGTTTAAACTTTCCTGCAAAAACATTCTCCATGTGACTGCCATCGCTCACTACTAACACATTATTATAATAAAAAAAAAGTAATCTGATTACTGATTTCCGATTTCTTCAAGACAAAATTTGTGCAGTTATTATTTTGTAAAAATTTTATTATTTTTATGGAAATAAAATTTGCATATTCATCATTTGTAATATATTTGCAGAAATAGGAATTGCGAATTAAAATATTCAATCATAATAAATGCGCAAATTTTGTCAAGTCAAAAACTCAAAAAAAATGTTGAAGAAATCGGAAATCAGTGATTACTTTTTTTTTAACGATCTCAAATTTCACATACCGCAATAATCGATTAAATTTTTTAATAAAATTTTTATTACTTATATTCAGTATTGTTGTTAAATTACTTTAAAATTATATTAATTTTAGCTAATTTTTTTTTTTTTAACAAATAAATCAACTAACAAGCTAATCGATTAATCGATAATCGATTTTAATCGATTATTAAAAAAATAGATTCAACCAACTAATCGATTACATTTTTTTTTCCGATTCATAATGCCACTGTCATCCAACGGGCCACTTTCCCAATCTATATGGGGAATGGACTAGGAAAATCACCGTCTGATACTTACTTTCAGATAGGGGTTTTCCTAGTCTATTCCCCATATAGCCCTGCACCCTCCTAACCTGTCAGATCTTACTTTCCTTGCGGCTGTCGTCCCAACAGGCCATTCTAATCAAATAGCACTTTAGTATTGGCAGGGTGAGAAGGATCGATCTAACCAAAACGAAAGTCGGATTCACAGAAAAGACTATGATATGTTCGAATTACTGTACTTCGAATTACTCATACTTCGTTCTTTCGATTAAAATGTGACCGTCATCGCAGTCATTTTGACGTAATGTAGAATTTCTATATAACTTTATATAAAAACTTTTTTCAAAATTTTTGAGTTTAAATTAGTTTTTTGCAATAAATGTTTGTGCAAATAAATGTTTTTTTGTATGCTGAGCATTTTTACTTAGTATATCTGATAAACAGTCAACGCTACTAAAATGCACCTATGGTGTTGAACACCATAATTGGCTATATCATCTCAAAAACGTACTACCGTAAAACGCCGTATAAGGTACCCGGGTATCTTACAATTCACATGATAAAAATTTGATTTGTACCCCCCGG